CAAGAATGGTGAAGAACAAAAATGTTATCACTGGCTTCTATTATGTGAATGTAATTTTTTCTTTTCTGCCAGTGTAAAATGTCATTACAAGCTCCTCTCTACAAGCTCCAAGATCAATGCTTGTGGCTTCATAACTATCACCGAAACTGTGACTTTCATAAAGATGAAAATGATTTATACATTAATATGACAGACAAACCTATTTATTACCCTCTCCTGTTGCTACATACTTTCACCAAGTGCTAAGTGTAACCCAAAAGCCAGCTAAACCATCCAAACACAGATTCAACAGAATCCTGAGGACTGAATCCCATCCCATGTCTGTTCACAGTCATTTCTTGCCAGAGAAATGCCTATCACAAAACTCTTGCACTCCAGTCTCCATTTATTGAGATATTCTGGATAGCCTCACATGAAGCTGCGAGATGCAGATTTTTGCTTAATTACAGCTTCACAGTTTGTTTGTCAGTCACCAAACCATCTGAGATGGTTAACTGTGGAATAAGGAATTTCAGAGTTTGTATTTTCAAATTCCCTGATGACTCAGATTGGTATAAAGAGGTGTGGAAGGAAGATGAGAAAGATTTAAGATACTTCACTAGAAATGCAGGTAATAATATTTAAAAAGAAAACTTTCCTCTAATCCACACATGGCAAATGCTGAGCTAGTACAGTTGGCAAAGAGCTGGCTGGCATATCATACCCCCTCCTCACCATATGGGATCACTGGGCCATCGGAAGGGCCTTATCAAAGGCAAAATGCTAGAGAAGCTGAGAAAGTGCTTGCTACTCCACAGTTAACTGATTGCTTAGGGAAGCAGTGCAAGGAAAGTATTTGGAAAAAGTCAGATGAATAATGTGCAGAGAGAAGTATGCTTGAAATGGCTGTGGAGACAAGAACCAATGGAATGATCTTACAGCAGCTGAAGAAGTTGAATTAATACGGAAGGAGCAAAACTCTTACATCACAGTGTTCATGACTCTTGCCAATCTAACACAGATCAAAATTCTCAAGTTAGGGCGAGCAGAAGCAGTCTCATCGATACTCTTTTCTCATTTAGGCCAGCCCTGGAGAAGTGGGAGTCACTGTCATGGTTGTTACTATCATTGGCATTGTTATTTTGTACCTTTATACCTAACTCATTCCAGAGAGAACAGAACTCAGGTCCATGTTGCAGGAATTACTAGACAGCATCCACAGCTTCCCACACACGTACATCATGAGCTTGGGAACAACCATTTCAGGGAAACAAGAAAGGTTAAATGCTGACTATATTTGTTTCCATGACTTTCCTTCAACCAACAACAACCAACAATGACCAACAATTACCTATGACTATCTGGGCAGTAAGATTTTATGCCAGCCTGACAGTGAGATGAAATCTTTGCTTCAAACTCTAGTTCTACCTTTCTCACAGCTATTAAAATTAACGCCTGCATATTAGTCCCAGGTTCTACCTTTACTGATTGTCAAGTTCTTAAAAGCTAACCAACCCATAACTCTACCATGCAGCACCCTTTGTATCTTGGGGTACCTGGCATGATGCTTTGATACCACCAGATCAGAACATGTTTTCTTGGCATCTTCTGCCTACTTTTATATGAAACTTACAGAGAATTATCTAGTACAACATAAACCTCTGACCAAAAGGACCCACAGGAATTTGATTTCCATGGTGTCAGGACTAGTAGGGGTAATTAACCATGGATGTGATTCCAGGAAAATCTAGAAACAGTATTCAGCTGTTAAAAAAATCATAAAATTCCTCTAGAAGAAAGTCTTCTGCAATACAGAGATACTTTAGCCAGAAGTCTGTTCTCCAATTAGACATATCCATTCATCTGACTAATGACTGCTAAAAATTAATCATTTTACTTTTCTCTTTCATTACCACAGACATTGCTGTTATAATATTAAAAAATATGCACCAAAAAGTCACGCGTGGGAATTTTGATATCCCTGAGGCAAGAAACACCTTCCACCACTGCTTGGGTAATGGTAAAGTCTCGGATTCAGGGATTCAGGCTATGATGTTTCAACAGCAAACACAACTGCACTTCTGTGGAAGACTTCCTATATCCACGATGCCAATGCTAGAAGGCTCATTGCAGCTGAATACTGAGCGATGCAATTTGGTGCTCAGCCATACCCTAGGGATTTCATTTCTGGGTGTATACTTAGGAAAATTTCACCCTTTCTTGCCCTACTTGTGAATCCAAGGAACATTTAAATCCTAGGTATTTAAATTCCTAAGAACTTCACTACTGTTTTCAAAAACTAATTGCTTTTCTTTACAGAAACATAACTTAAACATAATTTCAAGTATTTGGAACAAGTATCTTGAGTAGGAATCTATCATGTGTCAAATAATCTTTCAAGAGTAATTTCCACTTAATAACAGATGTTAGCACCAGCATTTATACATTTTGTGTTCAGCAAATGTGATAAGAATGAACTACAAATACTCTACCAAAGAAAGATGAAGAGAAGCATTTTAGGGGTCTTTTTCTTTAATCTCCAAAGTTCTAACATTAAGGCAGTGTTTCTGGATTCAGTACACTAGCATTGCTGCTCCACAATCATTTCCCACGAAGACAACCAAGACAGGGAATCCAACATGTTGGAACATTTAGGATCTGGTTACTGTAATGCAGAGGCTTTCTGTGCACAGGTAACTTGGACAAATCACATCCTAAGTTCAGTTACTTAACCTCCCCTTTTACCTACACTTACCCCCACGGGACTACTCCCCCTACACAAAGTTTTGTGCCAAGTTCATGGTTGTATAGTTCCCGTGCCCTTTGATTGGAGTTTTTTCACAGTTGCTAAATGCTGCCACTGTTATTGGGTAATAAACAAGTTATCTGTGCCAACACTCCAGGTCCTACCGGGGTACTACTTTGTTCGGGTATGAGGAAATTATTTAATTTTCTTTTGTTTTGCAACGGCAGTGCTTTTCAAATTTCAAGCAACATTCCAAGTAAAGTGCTTTTGATCTACAATTATTAGATCATCTTGGATCAAAACAATTCAAGCACAGAAAAAGAGATTTAGTGAAAGCTTTCTGATTTATAAGCATCGTGCAACACTTTGGTATACCCAGTGAGTGAAACTTTCCAATCTAGCTGTAATGTAATAAACCCAGACACTGTGCCTGCTCTGGAGCCTTCCCTAATGGTCTCACATCTTTCAAAATCCTGTGAAAAAAATTAAAGCTTTCCTGAAATGCAGAAGGTCAACATAAAATTTCATCTTCCCCCATGACCGTAATGAATATTTCAGTTTTAGTACTTGGAGCTTCACTATTCTCAGCTATTGCTTCCGTGGCAAAGAGATGGGCTGCAAGCAGGTAGCTGCCAAAACACTGGGAAGTAACACCCTACATAGTTGCAGAAGCTGCTTGGCTGTGTTCATAACAATCCAGTCTTTTCAGCAGCTTCAATCCTGCATCTTTTCTTAATCAATTTCAGCTTTCCAACAATCTAAAACAGCCACAGTAATTGAGCACAGCAGTACAACATTATTCTGTCACAATGAAAACATGAAATAAGGCACAGAAATATTTCCTTGGAAGCAGATCTCTAAAAAAGAAAAACAAACCAAATCAAAAATACCCGAACAAACAGAAAACAACACCTTCTCAAACAATGACCAATGGGGGTACAACCTCCATCAAGCGAGTGGATAAAATCTCCACAGAATTCTCTTCTCTACCTGGTAGTACCAGAATGCTTTACTTTGGCTGCTTTGCACTGACCTGAAGACCACACTCTACCAAAAACTGAATGAAATGGATTTTTTTTCTTCCAAAACCTCATGCAAACAGGATCGAATCCCATTGCAGCACATGCTCGTACTGCAATACTTGGGTGAAATATTGCCCTGGTAATGGTTTTACATATTGAAAATCATGCTTGTGACCCTGCTGTGCTGTTTTGTTTTGCAGTGAGCAGGCACAGATTAGATTTCTGGTCTCATCCTCTTTACCCTAAGTGAATGCTAAAGTGACAGCAAGATCAGAGCCTGGGGGGACAAGGACATGTCAGCAATCTAGCTGACTAATTAAGCAATGAAGCGATAGGTATCACAATTAGTTTCATTCCATTCTTAAAGTATGGCGGCTCCAATACAAGGAAAAACAAATGACAATATGCATAAACTGGGAGAGCTGTGCTGGAAGGGAAGCCTTCTGTTCTCACCTTTAGTAACAAGTTGTCAGCACACACAACATTTGTTTTTAAAACACCCCACTGATACGTTCCATTAAATGGTTCTCTCATTAAATAAGAAAAAGATTCTCTCTTAAAAAAGAACAGGCATCTGCTGAAATTCTAGAGATAAAATCCACATTGTCAGAGTTTGCTTTTGTGATCCTAGAGCACCTGCACTACACATCGCCCCATTCAAGAGAAGTTAATTCAGAATTTTACTTGAGAAACAGTAAAGTATCAGTGTATTCATGTACACTTAGTTTGGACATTTCTAATAAGCTGCTAATCTGTTTTAAAGTAGACTGGCTTTTTTTTTTTTTTAATTACTTCAACATACGATGGAATTGAACGTATACAAATCCTAATGCAAATAAACAGTGTTCAGTACTAAGCTCCTAAAACCCAGATCTATGATAGAAATCTGGAGATGGACTCTTCAACAGAAGCAAGGCTTAGTGACATTACAATAGATCAAGACAAAGTATTGTTCAACATGATTTTCTTCCTTCTCAATGGCATATCCAGCTGTCTGGTAGCATTTGTTACTGGAAGACTCTTTTCATTGAAACTGCAGTTGCTGTTACTGTTGTCATTAAATCCTTAAAGAAAAATACAAGCTCCTACTGCTGCTCTCTCCCTATGAACCAGTAACTGAACAGAGATGAACCAACACCTTATTAAGTCCAAGCAAAGCTTTTACGATGGCCCACAGAAATAAATAGGATGTCTACAATCCACATAAAGGCACTGTTAATAATAAAGACAAAAATTCGGTATGAAAAACCTACCTTTGGAGAAGAAGAAAGCTCTCTCGATGCAGGAATAGCTGTCACGTTCTCACTCATGCTTGTCTCTGTCTTTGGCAAGAGGTTTGGTGGTTCAGGAGCTTTTCTTTTCATCTTCTTTTCTGGTTCTTGCAGTGGACCAACTTTAACTAAAGCAGGACTTGATTTTGGTTCATAAAACGGATTTGATCTAATTAAAGAAGGGAAACATATTTCTTTACAAACGTCATGGAATTCAAAACAAAAATAAGACTGGTTTAGAGAAGCTGATGACTAAAGTGCTTTTATTATCCCATGCAAGGAATGTTTAGCTTTTACATGCTACTTTCTGATATGACTGACAAGTGAGAAAAACGGTTCAGACTGGATTAGCTCAGAACTTCTTCAGACAACTTCCAAATTATATGTTTTATTAATAACAAAACTAAATTAAAATATACTTGGCTATTAAAAGACCTCATTTATAGATGAGCTCAACACCAACAAATTCAAGAGAGGATGCTAGCTGTTGAATATGCCAATGAACAGAAGTAAGAATTCTTAATCAGTACAGATTTAAGTTCCAACCCCCTATTTGTTCCATCCTAAACAAATACTTCCACAGTATTCCCAAATGTGATCTAATAGTTTAATACATCAACTATCAATCAACAATGCACTGAATAAAAGCTCCACTTATGGACTTGAAAGTAGACAGCTGTCCTGCTAAGGATACTGACAGGAACCTTCTTCGCACTAACCTAACTCACAACCTTCGCTTTTCATGTTCTGCCATCCAAAACAAGACAATTCATTTTGAAACTGGCGATTTAATTTATTCTTTTCTCTTCCAAACTTCCCCTGCAAAGTGTATTTATCATGCATCCCAAACAATGTCATGAAGTCTGCAATCCCCAAAGGTCTATTTGCATACAGTTATATAAAGCATAACTGATCATGACAAATAACATCAGTCCTTCAAAATCCACCCTAGACAGAAACAATAACACATGCAGCCTTTGATAAGAGTTATCTAGCTAGATTCATTCTCCAATTTCCTCTCGGCATAAGAGAAATGAGCTAGCCCATGCTGTCTTAAACAACTAAAAAAGGTGGGCACAAATGAAAAGCCCACTAGTCATCCAGTTTCCTTCCACATAACACTAGATTCCTCTCCGTTTCGTTCATTTATAGTACGGAAATACGTCTTACGGTCTCTTGGCCTGACTTTGGAATTTATCTCAATGCAGTTTGCCTTTGTCCTTTTGACTGAGAAGAAGAAAGCAATTAATAATCCACACTGCAGAAAATAAGTCTACTTCTGAAAGGCAAAGTCTATTGAAGCACAAAAGAGAAGACCAGGCACAAAACCTCCAGACCTTTCGGAGAATCTGCCGCCACTTGTTACAGATCTAAATCCAGATAGTGAAGCGAAAGAACAACTAACACTAAAATAACTCATCTGCTGACTGAAGGCAACTTTCAGGTGTTCCCTCTTTGCTGCCCATCAAGCGCAAAGCCATCGGTGCAATAAAAACTAAGGACAAGAACAAAATAGCAAGTTAAATGAGAAACAGATGGGTATTTTCCATGGGAGCCAGCAGAAAAAGGAGGGTATTCAGTCTGAAACTGTCCTAGCTGTCAGAAGCTCTAGTTTAGCTGACAGCCTAGTTCAGCTGTCTTCAGACACCGGGAAGTTCAAAGGGAGGTGAAAATGAAGATAAAAGAGATAAAGGCTGAAGAACAATATGTGCTGCAGAGAGCACAAAGTCTTCCTTAGCTCTACAAGGCAGACTTCTGAACAGACAACAGATGCAACATGTTTGCTGATGGTGAAATTATCCTGTGCAGCCTTACTGGGAACGAGAAAGGTGTATTTGTAAGGTGTTAAAAACGATTTGGGTGGAAAAAAACCCACTAAAGAGCAAAAAAAGTTGGGAAGAACAACTATGTTCTGAATTTTTATGCTGCAGGATTCTTGTGCTGCACGTGTAATTCTGAGGAATTGGACCTGCTGCATGCATCAGAAGAACAGGCTGTACAGAGACAAGTTGCTGTTTCTTTTTCCCATAGAAAATATCTTGCTTTAAAGCCAGGCTAAGCCCTTCACATTCTGACCATGGCATGGTCTGAACACACACACAATTTTCCACTTTCTCTTCCCACTTAAATAATCATAAAACTAAATTTTCAAAAATGTTTATCAGCAAGTTTTACACAGACAAAATTCCCCAGTTCTTTCCAGAAAATGCAGCAGAGTTTGGTCCAACAGCCTCCATGTGGTGCTGACGAGAAACTAAGCATGGGAGGCCTGGCTGAAAAAAGGCTTAGCTGAAAAATCCCTGTGCACTCCTTCCTGAAGTTAGCTCACTTACTCTTTGCTTCAGTTGTATTACTGAACTGATCCACAGTGGGATTTACCTAAACAGACATCAGACTGTCCACGACAAAATTAAATAAACCAACCTGATGAGTTACCTGGCACTAAAAAAATCAGTGGCAGCAGGGTGGCTTGTGGCTCCTATGGAACAGTCAGCTTCAAGAGATGGCAACTAAACAGCCTTACCAATTAGACAGCATTGTCCCAGCCACACAACGATTAACAGGATAAGAAGCTACAGAGCCAAACAGTATCTGAAAAAGCAAGCTTTATTCTGATCAATTTAAAAATGTCTTTGACCAGCATCATTGGTTAACAAAAAAATAAATAAAATTGCCATTTCACTGAGGAAGATCAAAGCCATCAGCATGCTAAGGTAAGAGACCAGGCTATCTTACAAATAAAAAATGCTAGGGTTGAGGGCGTTGCACTTTAAGTACTGGTCATCTGCACTGCCTTCAAATAACTCAACTTAGCAAGGCCTGCTGTGCTTTATTAACAGTTAGCCACCTAGCATTTTGACTTTTAATGTAAACAACTCAAAAAGTCAAAGATTTTTACACTAACATTCAAGTTCCCAGACAAAAAAAGAACAAAAGGAAAGAAAAAAAAAAGAAAAAAAGAAAGAAAATATGTTCCTTATCTCAAGCTAGGGATGAGAACTTAGCCAGAGGATGTATGTTCTGGGAAAGTAGCTCCACAGCTGAACTTCTGTGCAGTAGAACATCTAAGTCCAGCTGTACCATGCAATGCCTCATTATGCTGATGCTTGTGACCATGCTTTGCTGATGCGAGTTGTGAAATCTTACGTTACCTTCACAACCATTAGTGCAATACATTGCCATTAAGCCAGTTACTCAAGGTAAATCCTCCACAGAGGCACAGCGAGGATAAGTACCTTGTCCAAGGTTACGAGAGTTGGTTACAAAACTGGAACCAGAGTTCAGATCTTCGGGCACTTTGTGTAAGTCTTGAGTCCACAATCAGAACTAGCAATTTGCCAAAGCAGAGTGGGACAAGGGTCCTGATTTTCAGTGATGTGTTCATGTTCCCAGGACACATCATCACTTTTCACACACAATAGGAGAAAGCCAAGTGGTGCATTAAATGAACCCCAAAGAAACTTTTAAGAAGCAGTGATAAAAATACATGACATTTCCTAAGTGACAACAAACGCCCTTACAGAGACTTCTATTTCTCATGCCTTTCACCTACTACCTTCAGAAACATTCTTTAAAAAGCAATGGACCAGTGGTAGTAAAAAATGATTAAAAAAACCAACCCAAAACAAAACAACAAAAATTGGAAGATAAGATAGTTAGGAGAGGTTGAAAATAGCATGCAAGGTTTTCTAATGCCATGGTATGACCCAGTTGTTCAGCCTTGTCTTGAATACACTGCTCAGGCCAAGTCAACACCCATCTTAAAATAGATACATAGCAGAAGAAATAAGAGGGTCCAGAGACGTGCGATGAAAATGATTAGAGACATGAAGAGACTTCTGCATGAAGAGAGATTGAAAAAGTTAGCACCACTTAACTCAGACAAGTGACAAGCAATGGTGAACATGCTAGAGATACAGACACAGCAACAGTTTATGGCAGATAAAACTCAATACTACTTGCTGTTGTTTTCAGAAGCCAAAGAAGGGATTGTAGATGGGATTGGGAAGGTAACTTATTTACAATCAATAAAAGGAAATACATTTCATATAATACCTTGTTTTCTTGTGGAACTCTCTGCCACAAATTGACACTGAAGCCTAGACTTTAATAGGATTAGGAAGAAGATGAGCCACTTAGATAATAAAAGCATCTGCATTCACGGTAAGTAACAAACAATATCCATCTGGACATAAACCCTTATCATTTGGGACACACAGAAACTGAATTGCCTATGAAAATCTTTCTTTTAGTGCTCATAATACTATGCATACCCTTAGCAGAAACAATATATTGAAAAGAATTGGCAATTATTAACATAAAGTAAGGCATAATAGTGCTTTTTAGCTGTGAGTTAGTATCCCAAGTCTTATGTTCCTACATTGATTCTATGTTACTACATTTTTTTCCTTTAAGTATAAAGATTCATCCTAGGGTTCTCCTTGCACACCTCTACCCAACACATCCAAAAAATTGCCTCCATGTCTTTGTCAGTGACATAGCACTGGGAGGAAAGTGGCATGAGGAGCTACAGGAGGGTCAGTCCACAACGAACTGTGTAAAAGATGTAAAATGACATGTATATTCTTATTTCTCCCTGTTGATTCTGGTGATCTGTGAACAGTCAGAGATGGTCACTGTGACCGCCAACAGTGTGATCACACTGTGGTCTGATGATACAGCAGCCAGCACTGCTGGTGAGGCAGTGCCCTAATGGATGGAGCCGGCAGAGAAATCATCTCTCAGTGTCCCCAGTGCCCCCCTTTTTTTTTTCCTTCTTCATTTTCACAGAACATCAACGTATCCATGGCCACAGAGCTTTAAAAGGAAAAAACCCTGTACATTTCTATTAGAATGCGTGGGAATTCTTCAATTTCCTACAACATGGCTATAAACAGAGAAACATGAAGATGATAGTAGGACACCTGTATTAATATTAACTATTAAAGCAATGCAAATGTCATCCCCTGATAAATCTCCTTAAGTACTGTAAAACTAAAGGGTAATTACAGTTGTTGTCTGTAAAATTGCTCATGTGTAATCACCATAAACTGCCTCATGAGTGGTGTGGTTGGTGACTAATAACCACAAACAAGGAATAAGTAAACACCTTCAAACCTCCTAAGCTGCACAACTCCTGCAAAGAGCTCTCACTCCTTGTTAAGCCTCTATACTAAAAAACAAGGCAGCCAGTGCAAGTTTATTAAAGTTCTGTATGTGGTTATGATAAAAGAAACAGCTTAACAAAGCGCATATGGTATTAGCATTTGGATTTTTGGTAGCAAAAATAATGGCAAAGAAGACAGGAAGGACCTTTGCATCATTACAACTGGCAGGGCACGAAGGGCCAAACAGGCACGCAGATCTGTTTCCTATCAAAGAGGCAAAGAAGCTTTTCCAAGCTGATCATGTTCACCTGTGGAGCTGAACAGTGTGACTTGGGGGTATGGTATTTCCTACTGCTAAGCTGAATACCAGTAATGTCCTGAGGAGGTGATTAAGGATCATCACGACTGAGCCCAATACACCTCAAGATTAAGCCAGAGATCCCACTAATGCTTCCAAGGCTGCTGAAAGATGAAGAATCATACTTACTCATCTAGTTCTTCCTCTTCAGCTTTGGAGGTATCTGCATAGAGGTATTTGCTCATATCCACTGGTCTGACGTTCTTCCTTTTTGCAGGTTGAGGAGGAGAATCTCTTATGGTTACAAATGTTTCGGAGTCAGGATCTGGCTCATCAAATGGGTTCAAGTACTCTGGGGCATCTTCGTCCTTGAAAGGATTGTAACTGTCAACATAGAAACCTTCTTCTGCCTTTGAAGATGATGCGATCTCACTGTCCAGTTCTACCAAACAACAAGAAAATCATTAAGCAGATTAAATATAGAAAAAAATTTGAAGCCATTTTATCAGATCTTTGTATTTTGAGGTTTATGAAACGGTTTACTTTGTAATTCTCAAGATGTAAAGTCCTAGCCTTGGACAAATTTTTATGCTTCATTTGCAGCGTGACCTTGTTTATGCCAAAATAGGGTCTTTGAAAAGATCATTTCATCTAGAGTGTACTGAATAGGTTTAATTTTCTCACTTACTAAAGCGCTTTCAACCAATTCGTTATTAGTTTTCCTATTTGTCACATAAATGGTATCACAACAGATTTTAGAGCATTTTCCCAAGCCATTAGCCAGTCTGTATCCTAACAAAATGTTCTTAATTGTTTATTTGAGTTTTTAATAAAAGCAAAAAGATACCCTATATTTCATAATAAAATGACTTTTATTGAATACTAGAAACGGTGATAGCTAGTAGGCACTCTTTTCATTCCTTAAAGTGACTGAATTAAAATCATGGTCAGTAATTACATTTTAAAATATATACATTTTCCTAACCGGTCTTTTGAACAAAACACCATCTGACTGCAAAAAAAGAATTTAAATTAATCCTAAAGAGATGGATAATCAAATTATGCATTTATTATTTGGGCTGTAGAGCAAAAAGTTATTAGTGACCTGGAGCTCCACGCAGTTCTTGAGAGTAACAGGCCCTACGGAAAGAACACCGCACAGAAGTGAAGGATTGCTGGGCTCTGAATGAACACTGAAATCCCAAACAGCGATACAATGTTCCTCACAATGACACCAGTACCTCCATCATACTCTTCCCTCAGAATCCAGTGAGTGGTTCAATATGAGATTTGAGTGCTTTCTAAAGTTACGTAAATAGGAACTTCAAGGTACAGTTTTTAAAACCTCATTTTCAATGGCCACTCCCACATTATTCATGATGAAAAGCCTTTCTTCTTCAGATTTATGGTTAGTAATTGAACAAAACATATTTTTTAGCTTTAAAAGAAAACCTTCAAAAGTTTTTGTAGCATGGTACTAAAAAAAAGAAAAAAGATGGAGTCCCAAGTATATTTGTCACTTAGCTAATACTGGGGAAGACAACATTTCTAGTCAATCAACTAATGAAGGCAAGGGGCAGTGAAAAAAAGCAGCGCTGCAGTCACTTGGTCTTGGATGGAAGATGTTAAGTTGCCTACCCTGTGAACTGACAGAAAATGCAGATGTTTTCTGCTCCACCAGGAAACTTTTACCCTGTCTCCAGCCATTAGCACAGAGCCAAGGTGACAGACAGCCCTACACAGCGGGTTGTGTAACCTACGGCTTGTACAAGAGCCACTGCTGGCTGAACCAGAATACGGCCCAATGGTGCAAGGAGCAGCTCCACCTACCTTAGGCACTGGACTAGTCACCAGCCAGTGGGCCTAGAGCAGGAAAAGCTTTAGTCCTTCTCAGAACTACCGGGACCTACTGGAAAGACTTGATTACAGATGCCTAGTGCCTTTCTTCTTCTTGATTCTTTACAGTTGACCTGCAAAGGCTGTATTATCATACTGTCTTCTGTGCTACTTTTAAGAAGCTGTTTCTGAAGTGTTTGATCGTAAATCTGAAGAACAAATGGTTTTGCCTCAAATAAAGGAATAAAGCAATGAAAACCTTACTTAAACCCTAGGTGGATACCCAGGAGATAAATCACCCATCTGGGATTGAAGGTGAGCTCAGCTGGGTGAAAGAAAATAAAGCTGCACTTTTCCAGACGGTACTACAGGTTCTGACTGGTAGACACACGTGTGACTACGCACAGTGCCTGTGCCCATGGGATTTCCCTGCAGTGATTATTCGTAAAATTACATTTAAAAATGCCTTTAATTCCAGGTGAGGCTTAAAGTCTCTTATTCCATCAGCAACTTGGTCCAACTTAGTATTAAAGAAGCAATACATACAGTACTTACAACTATCTTTTTTTGTATACCATATGTTCTTGTTCTTATATTTAACTTTCAGAATGCAGCTATCATAGTCTCACATCAAGAGCTGGAGTTAAAAGGAGAATGAAAAGGAGTGCAGCCTAGTCACTGCACTGAAATGGGATGACAGGAAATAAAGTGAGATCAGAAAAAACTATTTTTATGCCTAATAGCCAAACAGCCTTTAGACTGTCAAAGCATATTATAAAAAGATTTAATCCTTCTAACAGTAAAAAAGAAAAAAAAAAAGGAAAAAAAAAAAAGGAAAGAACTGTAATAACGGCCTTAGCAAAATCTGAAGAAAAAAAAAGATGTCCTGTTACCATTTAAACTGGTTAAGCCAGCTAACCAGGACAGGTTCACATTGCTAATGTCTAAAATCAGGAGAGTAGACCCCCACATCTACTGTCTAGAAATGCATGACTAGAAGCTCATGTCAGTTGTGGGTGATACACCAATGTTACCAACACATTTAGTGCTTTGATAACGAGGCCAAGCACTGGTGCTTAAGAGGTCTGCAGTAACCTAATGTAGATTTGGAGTAACCTAACGAAACACAGAAAAGTGGCCCATGCACACGCTGTTCAAATTGAACTGCTCATCAAAAACCCTTTGATTAAAGTTATTTCAAACCTTGAAATATTTTACCAAGGAAGTGCACAGCCCCTTAATGCCTGCTTCTACAACTGCATATTAGAAGATGGATCACCACACCTGCACTCAGATCTGTTGATAAATACATGTTATCTTATCTGAGCAAAACTTCCTGATAACTCACACGTGGCATTCAAAGTAATGTTCATACAATTAACCCACTGTGCTAGGATGCATACATTGTGGTTTAAAAAGAGAGGACCTATTACTGCAAAGAATGTCAGGAGAATTTCCTGACACTAAAAACATTCAGGGAAATCATCTCTTGTAACTGAATGGTAAGCTTCTATCTTTAATGTGCTTTCAAGCACCTCTTGGAAACAACGAGTTAAATTTTTGTTTAAATCCAATAGATTTTAAGGAGAGCACAAATGGTTTTTGCAGTTCTATTTCAGCACTGCAGATCAAGTGCTGCAACCCTAACCAGGGCAAATTTATTTCTTGCATTCATTAGCTCAGTGGTAACTATAGATATGGCCTCACACAGAGAGCGCTGCGGATCAGCAATGAGAGACCTCAGGCTTACTCTTAGCTCACAGACATCACAAAACGCTGCACATAGGCTAAATGTAAAGGAGCCTCTAAAGACATCATTTTTAAGAATTAATTTTACAGGCACTCACTAAAACACTTAGCTTGTCTCCTCATTCTCTCTTCCTGTCATCCAGGACACCACTTTTTTCTCTGCTTCCTCAGTTGTTCCCACAAAAGGAGGGAGCCCATTCTGCACTGGAGGGCAGAGCCCAGAGGCTCATGAGCCAACTAGCAGAGAATGGTTTTGAGGTTTGCACCCACCGTGCTTCGCTGCCAGCAGGCAGAGCAAAGAACAAACCCCAGAAAGCCAGGGGAAATGTTCCCTCTTCTGAATCCAACTAGAACCTTCAGGTCTGCCTTTCATGTCAAGTGTTGTTGCTGCTCTGTGAGTCCCTCTAAAACTTAAAAAGAGGCTTCTTTCCTTCTTCAGGCTGATTTTATACTAACAACTCACCAGCTATTTTCTTGTTCTCCCCATCATTAATCACAGCTGAAAGAAAACTCAGGACATTTGGTTGCTGAAGTCATTTTTTAATTGTAGCTCTCTACACAGATTTAAAAATTACATTTGCAGCTTGGCACTCCAAGGGTCAAACACATGGTAATTTTGCATGGTTAAGTAATAAAGCCACAGGGGTAGGAGTGACAAGAGAACAGGCAGAATATTACTACAGCAGCAGCACCATCTGCTCTTGTGCCAGACGCTGAAGACAGTTCTTGCTCTAACTGCACTGGGAAAGACTGCCTGTGATAGTAATCACCCTGACTGGCACTGCCTATCTGCACAATCAGCCTTCTAGTTCCCAGAGGATCTCCAAAAATCACCCTGCCCTTCAAACCACTTGCCTTTTGTAACACAAACATATTGTGACATACTCCCCAGAACCAAACAGAACCCCTACCAAAACATTACACACACAACTTTCCCCTTGGCAAAAGATGAAAGAAGAAGCCACATGTGAAAGATACTTAGCTATGCCACTTGCTGCACTACTGGCAGGCACACAGACACGATGGTGATGTGAGTGCAGAGGAACAAGCAGCATAAAAATATTACTTCCCAATACTTCTAGAAAGCACAGTGTTTGGCATTCCTACAAACCACTGATGATTCTCCCCTACTTTAGCTAGTACCAGCAAGACATCACATTTCATTAAGAAACATAAAAAGAGAAATCTTTTCTCCTACATCTTGGTTCCTGTATTGCTCTCCTTAGGACTATCCTATAAGGATGGTGGGTGTTGGTACTGCAAAACAGTACTATTTTCATTTGCACTGTCACGTACTTCGCAGTGAGTTCAGAAGTCTGTGCACAACATAAACAAATGCATTGGTAAAGTAAATAATGTTTTAAATCAAAAGGGGTGGCAAAAAATAGCTACCCTCATGTCTTAGGTGTGTATTGGTCATACACAACTTCAAAAGCAGAAACCCCATCTAATTAGAAAACATTCTGGGGACACTGACAGTGTTCTGTAGTTTCCTATTTCCATTTATTGGCTATGATGTCTTCCACATGTAAAAAATTTTGCACAAAAATTATCTGATTGTAGAGTTCTGTTGTAATGGGACTAAAAGACTATCCAAAAGGCAATCTTCAGATGATGAGCAACATATTGGCTAGTATGAAAGCTGCAGAATGGTATTCTGGACAAGATTTTTCTCTCGATTCTTCAGATTTCTAACATCTAGCTGACCTACTAGATACAGAGATGATAAGCTTCAATTTGACTCGTCAACCACAAGATACATTGGAAGATTTCTGAGGATTTTTGATGCAAGTTGTTCATATTCATGTTCACTCTACTGTGCACGATCACTTACACCAAGGACTTTTTAAACCAAGCAGTAACCCTGAGGTAGCTTGCTGAAGCCCTCTGCCATGCAGAGCACCCACAGTGTACACACAGATGCTGGGAGCAATCATGCCTTTGGTTTCTCTCCACCCTTCATTCCCAGGGTTAGGTGATTATGGGATTAGAAAGGTAGAGGGAAAGCAGCTCAGCTGTGGACAGGCACAAGAAATATCTGTCTAGGAAAGAAGCACCTACTGGCAAGCAATTCTCCTTTCTCTTTGAGTGACTGTCAGTGCATACATATTCATATGCTGGGTGACTGCAAGCACTCTCACTAAGCACTCAAGGTAGTGGCTTTATAGGAATATCCCTGGACTGTTCTGCCAAGTGGCACATGGTGCCTTCTAGCCTCTGACGGCAAAGGACTCAGAAAATGGTGGATGACCACCTTGGGGAAATCATCTTACACACTTCATTGAGAGCTTCTGATCTTTCACATAAAACCTAAATTCAAGATTCTGGATCATTCATATAAAAAGATAAAGCAGACTAACGTGTAGTGGATAGAAAAATACCTCATCCCTGCATGCATAAGAAGTTAATCTCCCGATTTAAGCTGATCACAAGACAAGTGAAACAGGTAATGTGACTCTCTAAGCCTGTAGGAGAAAGTCTGCCTTAAACTCCTGAACCTCTGTTGTGCTCCCAGGCTCCTGGGGCAGCCACCAAATAGGGCCCATTCACTGAAGGACGCAAAAACGAACAACTGGGCATAGTCTCAAATTGCCTCCAAAAAAGAGACAGCAGCAGTAAAACTTGCATTGAGATCTCCAAGTAGAAGAAGTATCCTAAACTAAGAGGAACTACATCTGCTAATAGATGGAAAACTAACCAGGCTGTTCTCTGTGATAGGGCAACAACAGATGGGCTTTCAGAGTATTCCATAGCTCATGCCCATGTACAGATACACCAATTAGCCATAGATATATCCAAGAGATCCCTTCTGTTGCTGAACACCAGAACCGTCATAACTAATTTGTCTTAGCACTTTTACCCCACTCCCCCTAACTTTCTGTTGAAGGTAGAGGGCTGGAGAAAAGGCACAACTCAACAAAGGGAGGATGAACATCACCAATGCCCACTGCAGGGACAAGACAGCTCTGGAGTGGAAGAGCCAGCAATTCTCAAAGGTGCCTGTGGTGGTTTAAAGTCTCCAATGAGGCACTAACTGTAAATGAAAAACTTGAAAATGCCACACCAGATGTCCCACTTCTATCTGACAGCCCAAAACACTTCAGATTTCCACAATGTTCAATGTTCCAGGAAGGCAAATTTCTTTCACATGAACATGACTGATCCCAAATGAAAAACACCTATGACACAGTAGGAAGAATCCAGTGCCACCCTGTTTATCAAAATCACTGTCATGTTATGGTACGTTGATTGCTGCGTGATGGTGACTGTGTGGGAGGAATAGCTGGTACACACACACCCAGCAACTCAGCATCACTGCCCACAGCAATACAGATGGGACTTCTTTGGGGACCCAAGAGCCTGAGACCTATCCAAGTACACAAGGCAGATCCAGAGGAATGGAGGATTGTCTATGATGGCAGTAACGCCTTCAACAGTACCATTAAAGGGACTACAGCTGATTGAAAAACTGTGACATATACATACGGGGAGTCTTTTGGGAATGTAAGCAGGATGGAGCCTCGGATGCAGGCTAGTCATTGGGAACATGACATAAGGTATTAAGTTATTCCAACACTAGGAAACAACCAGTTTCCAGCTCCCAGTCCCTGAGATTAGAAGGAAATGATTCTTAGTTCCCACATTTTGTCATCAGTAGGGCTGCTGCTTTCTGCAAGAAAAAGTTGAGTTTAGAAGACAGCAATTTAGGTAGGATGGGACTTGGAGAGTTGGACAAGGAGCATTTCTTTCTTAAGTAAAGAAGAAAGAAAATAATATAGGCTGAGTCTCAGAGAAACTTGTGCGTGAACAACAAAACGTGAATGGGTATTTTACATCCTTGGTTTGCCTCCTTCTCTGATCCTAAAGGAATTAGCAGCTGAGGTGCAAGCTGGAAAAGAACCCAAAGATCCGGACACCAAAACATAATCCATATATATTAGTATCTACAAAGCTGAAACAACTCACTTCTGCAGCTCTAGACAACTCAGGAGTGGGAGGAGCCTGAGATAATGGCCTTATGACTTCAATGGCCAAATACAGAGGATAGTGCAATATCCCTGCTTAAGAAATACAGACTGTGGGACGACACCACAGGCCATTAATAGGTTCTGTGGACTCAGAAGGCAGAAAAAACACTTGAGAAATCATTCCATTTGTTCAGAGAAAGAGTAAGTATAGGTGGAAACTACAGCTCTGAAACACACCTTCATTAAGCTTGGCATTAGAAATGCCGTGGCTACACCTAGCCTGTTCCTGCCTGGTGTGGTTCACTTCTACTGCCACTGCAATGAGGTTTTGTCAAAGGTGGCAAATACTTCTTGCTATCCTTTATGGGAAAGGAAGTCTTGGAGCACTGAACAGGAGAATTTGATTACAGCTTTTATTATTATTATTATTATTTTTTTTTTTTCTGATGGCAACAGATGGAAATCTAGATATCCACACATGAAGCTGGGGACAGAAAAGATGCTAAGATGCTGCTTTCTGGCCTTGTAGCTGAAGACACAAATTAAACACTTAAAGGAATTTTATTTCTCACCCAAACAAAACAAGAATAGGCATGTTGGTCTGGAAAGAGGATTAACACCTACCACGCAGTGCAAGGCGTGATGCCAGAAGACTTAACTGAGGAAGCCATAAAAGCAAAAAAAGAATGAAAGAGATACAATTAAGCTATATTAATGAAGATTAGAGCTAACCCAAATCAAGAACAGCTGTGATACAGTGAAGACTGCATGGAAGATTCTGTTCCACATGTAACAGAGGCACCTGACAGTATGCTTTGCTATTTATACCACGTGTGCATTCTATCAGGTGAGCAGTAATAAGACACCCTGATAGGTCAGCAACTCTCTGAGTTCAGCTCTAAACTCATATTCCCTCAAAGCAAATGCGCATGAGGAAGGATGTGATTCAAAGGACAAACCAATTTTCCAGTGACAACTGGATCACTGCTATTGCTACTGTTGCTACCTCAGTACCTAATGCAATAACTGTATTTTATGAGAACATTCTTCATTTTCAGTCCTACCAAAAAAAAAAAAAAAAAAGTGGTTTTAACACTTTTAATTAGTGATTAATTATGCAAAACAAATGCATTACCTTCCACATCAGGATCTCCAAATGGATTCAATTCGGCTGCATCAGGATCACCAAAAGGGTTCATACTAGAGTCAGCCAGGTCTTGTTCCTCTTTGTCCAGGAAATTAAGCTTACTGATAAGCTCTAGAAATGAGTTGGAATATTGTGTCAGTATAGATACAAACTGTTCATCTAACGCATTCCAAACTTAAAAAAACCTACACATATCAACAGTCCCTCTAAGTACTGTCTCAAGAAATGTCACCTACAGAACAACTAAGCAAATTCACTTCAGTAGTACAACAACAAAGGAGGGGGAAAAAAAAGTGAAATGAATGAAACTACCATTTGCTGATCAGAACATTATGAAATACAAATGACTATAATGAAGCCTTTTATAATCTTCATTAAATATACACTGCAGAACACCTAACAAACTAAACAGCAATTTCTTTTTGGTGGCTCACGCAGATGGTAAATTATCAGAGGGAAATTTCAATTTTTGGATGCAACGTGCATGTGAAATCAGAGTGGAGACATTGTGTCAAGTTAGAGAGGTCAAATATTACTGACAGCACAACTGAAGTTTTATGCTTGGTTTTTTTTTGTTTTCTTTCTTTTTTTTTCCCAATATTTTTTCTGTTCTTGTTCATTATCAGATGACAGTGCAGCTGCAGAGGAGACAGTCTCTTTCTCTATCGTGTTGTTACCTGTTGGATGCACTACAAATTACTGAGAGTCATGCTGGGTGGAAGCACAGAGATAAAACTGACAGTTGAATACAAGCAGGAGTCAAAAGGCAATAGGTCACAGTAAATACAGACAATCAGAAACAGAAAGAAAGGAGGAAAGCTCATAGACCTTCAGAGGAACTGGCTGATTTAGCTGAAGGCATATTTGCTTGCTTTATGCAGTCATCTTGATCTTCATCTAAGGTGCTCAGAGCATTCAGCTGGTTTACAATTTCTGTAAATAGAAGCCAGTCAAGACAAATGTAAGGCAAGGGCATTTAATGAAACAGAAGTGGAACAGACACTGTTACTAGAAAAAGAGAGAGAGAGAGAGAGTAAGGGAGAAGACATTTAGTATTAATTGAAAGAATACACGTAGAACAAGCTTTAACAATGATATACCTATAGCAAAGCATCTCTGTAGAACCCTTCAGTGATCATCTAATAAACAAATCTTGCTAGACTCCTGGTGTCAGCAACAGTAATTAGCTTTATAAAGATGAGTATGTACATCAATTCAAAACACATACTAAGATATAATTAAAGGGATTTTCCTGATTGTGAAGAAAACTGGAATTTTAAACCACTGTCAAACAAGACAAAAGAGCCCCAGAATGATTTACATCCCTGCTGAGCCTTTAAGGCCACAGAAAACCAACACACATACACACATATTGCAATTTATTTATACACACATAGTGATTATTTATCATTTACAACGAGTGACAAACCCAGTATCACAGTTCTAAAAGATGTGGTCACTACTGTGCTATTGGAAAGCATACTGAACACATCCATCAGTTACACTTCCTACTGCAATGCCATGCAAAGAACCGAAGTGCTCCCCGAGATCCCATTTTTCCTTTTGTCCATAGTGCACAGCTGTGAGTTGCCACGAACTTGTAACCTTAACACCTATCAACCTCAGTGTTTAATTCTAATCAGGATGCCTCCATAACCGTGCAAGAAAGAAATAAAAACTGACTAGGTCCCACTTCTGCTGCAAGGGGAAAGATTCCACCCTGATCCCACCCCAGAGTAGCTCCTATCCACAGCATCTGACAAATACAGCTTCTGTACTGATGGGGACTGAGCTGAGCATGTCTCTGAAAGCCCTCAGGTACAGGTTTCTGTCAAGAGGGGACAGCCTGTATTGGCCTTCCAGGAGAAAAATGGGCAGAAGAAACCTGTGCAGGAGAAACGATTCTGCTTACTGAGTATCACTGACATCCCACTGCTTTTTTTGAGAGAAAACAGAGTGAGAGAAAACAGAGCAGTACAACAACGGTACCAGCTCGCATTGCTGCCACACCACTCAGACCTTCCCATGCTTTCCCAAAGGGCAACACCACCTGATCCAACTCCGAAGCTGAAGGCAAAAGCAGAGTCCAGAACCTCAATGCCTCTCAATCGCATGGTTAAAAATTTATCTTCCAGCCACTGTGCAAAGATATGCCAATCTGCAAATTACCAAGGAAATGATCTGTGCTGCCAGTATCTTTTGGACAAGACCTATTCTACCAATGACAAACCACAGCAGAATTCCTCCTCACCACACCTCACCAGCATTCCTGATTATAGAGCACAATCTACTTAGATGAGATTACACTTATGGCTGTCTACACAGAGTTCATTTCACCATCCTCGCTTCCTTATTTTTAACTCTGGCAAACAAGACTAATGCCCTAAAACAACACCAAACTGCCCCCAAAAGCTTGGCTTTCTCAGTATAAATCATATATACATCTCAGACTCCTGAACAGTGTCACACTGTCTTCTGAGAGTTTTTAAGACACAAGATGCACAAAGGCAAAAAGCCTTCCTGTATTCGAATAAAACAGAACCAACCTTATAAAAGGCTAGTAGAAACAAATTACCAGCTTTAAACAGGGTGAGATGCTGACATGATGTACAATTTATTATCCCAGCATGTGAAGAAAAAAAACCACCAAAAAAACAACAATTACGATTCAATTTTATATTGTCAGAAAATAACAAATTAAAATCTGAGCTTTAAAAGAGGGAATTCTTTGATGTGGTCTGAATCACCTGGTCCCATCTGCCAACCTAAACACCCGTATGCACTGCAGTGTTTCTCATTACAATATTAAATGGTTTATGTCATATTTTGGAGAGTGGAAACAGTAGGTTGAAGATTTATGCCTTATATTATCTTTTTTATATATCTCACTATCTACAAGCATATATTAGCTTGTTCAACAAGTATGCTGTATAAATCACTAGAGGTGTTTCTCCTCCTTTTCTTTTGCTCTTTTTTTAAAGCAGCGTGGCACTACCAGGAAAAAAAAAAAAAAAAAGAGTAAAGGTATCAGAAAACAGCACAAGAGGGATGGCTTTTCAAATGGCAAGGAAGGATTACACATACTGCCCTGCAGAAGCCTGCTCTCGAAATAAGCTGGGACTCAGGCACCTGCAGCAGGTCACACATGGGCATGTTGCTCAGTGCATGTGGCACCTGGGAGAGCCACCCTGCTCCTGGGCAGATGGAGCAGGACGCAGCTATTAACTTCAGCGTAGCAATTAAAACATTAAGGGAAACAGTGTATTTATTACCGTCCTAGGTTTGTGAGTTACAAGCCATATTTCTTCAGTGCCTTGGAATGTCCCATCTTCAACTTGAGACTAAGGACAGGTTCTGGGAGGGGTAGAGAAGCTGAAGTATTTTAATCTTTGAACTTCATGGCTACAAACATCACTTTCACGTTCACACAAACTAGAACAGTTAGATGGAGATACAGTTTTTATGCGTGCAAAATTTACACAAGAAATGTTGTCAAGGACGTTGAAAACTGAGATGGAGCAAGATTTTTATTTGAAAGGAAGCGGTGCTTTGAATGAAAAACATCTTCTGGCCTCATCTTAAGTTCAGCCTTATGGCAGTAACTCCTGTGTTGACCACATCAAATTCCACAGTGCTTTTGAGGTAGGTCAGAATTGCATCACTAATTTCACAGCTGAAGAAATAGAGGCACAGATACTTACCCAGTGTTAGGCAACACATCAAGGAAAAGAAGCAGCATTTCCTAACTCACCTGCACCATCTAGGGCCCTATTTAAAGGTCTGTCTCATTCCCCTAGTGTAGATACTTTTATTCATCTCTGAAATTGTAACTTTGGGCCCAAGTAAAACATCAATTTTTGTACCCTGCAAAAGGAATGGTGTCTGTGGCAGAGACCAGCAGCACCGCCTGTAGCTGCCGCTTGAGAACGACAGTGTTTCGGTCATGGCGTCATCCAACACTTCTGTGAGACCTTGAGTCAAAAGTAAAGATAATAATCCCTTCTGCTTTACTGCTTGCCCTTTATTTTTTCAAAGCTCACTTACAAAAATGAACTTTGTAATCCTCCCATCGCTCCTCCGAAGGAGCTGCAGCCAGTATCCCCATTTTACAGTTGGGAAAACAGGCACACCAGGGCAAAGTGATTTGCCGCAGGGGACTCTGAGTCAGTGAAGGCATTCCAGCCTGCTTGGCTGCCAACACCCTCACAAGGCAACAGATGAGAAAATGTTGGGAGCAGCAAACTTTCAAAAGGGTTATGTAACTTCCTCAATTAACTTCATGGGATTCTGTGAAGACAATTATCTTTTAAAGGAATTTAAAAAGACTACATCACCACATCAGTTTTGCTTGCTAATTTCCTTCTTTCTATATTTGCTCCTATTTTCCTACCTCCATCTATCCGAGACAGCACTCTCCCTTCTCCCCTGCTCCTGAGCTGTCCTCCATGAGTTTTATCAGTTTTCCCATTGGTTCTATTTGCTACAGGAGTCATTGCAACTGACAGTGAAATCAGAAGAAACCTCTACATTGTCTTTAACACATGTTGAAACAGATCTTCTCTATTTTATTTACTATGTTTACTGCCTTTGTTTCAGGCTCTCCCATTTGCTTGGGAAACCATTCTCCTTCAATATTCATTCCATCTTTCTTCTTGTCCATTCTCCTTCAAGATCTAGTCCACCCATCTTCTTCTCTCATACAAGAAAACTTAGCCAGCCAACATGAAAAGAAAAGATCTGAGGCTGACTTTCCCTCCTCAAGTTCCTTTCATGACTACCAACAAAACGCTCAGCCTTGCCACCCGGCGTAGTCAGAAAATAGCACCAGAAGGGGCTGAGCAACAAGCAGATACAGTAACTCCAGAAGTATTTACTGCTTCTGCCCTTCCAGGAGTAAGTGTAATGTTTGGTTAAAACATTTTGGCCTTTACAACAGTACCTGAACAGCTGAAATGCCTCTGAAACTTCAAGATAGGTCTTAGCATTGCACTCAGTGTGAACGCAGCAAGTGTGTGTATGAGGAGGAAAGAGGCTCGGAACAATCCTAACTTAGGTCAGACAGCCCACTATTCCCCATCTAACTACAGGGATGGTCACCATGTAGAGCCAAAGGCCAGCAAACGCAATAGGCCAATCTACATGAGCTTTTTGCCGGTTCAGGAATTGCTGAGTTTGCTAAGATGCTGAGCACTGCAAAAACAATGAAGTTGAGGAGCAAGATCTGCTGCTTTCCATTTACTACCCTGCACACAGGTTTTCTGAAGTAGTCCTCAGAGCAGTGTACAGGCATATCTTAATAAAATACACCTGAAAACAGTTTATATAGACTTTATGGAGCACCTCCTTCACGTGCTTTTCTCTCTGGGATTACAGGATGGCCTGTGCTTCTGTTTGCTGTTCTGAACATGCAGCCCAATCATTTTAGTTATGCTGGGAAAGGAGTGAGAAGCTTTGCAGAGTGATCTCAGTGTGGCCAGACTGGTATTTCACCACTCCTTGACCAAGAAGACACTATCTCTCATATTTTATTCTTGACTTTCCAATCTGCTGTGTACCACACAAATACAGCAGAAGTAGAGATTTGGTCACGGTAAAAAACTTTTAATTGAATATGTAAAGCATAGAGAAAACAGATTTGCATCCTTTCACAACTGTAAATATAACTAGCTAATAACTGCTTCAAGCAGAGTCCCTCAATTGCAACAACAGCTCAAAAAAGCAATGCAATTACTGCTTCGAAATACCCAACCAAGGCTCCTCAGGATTTTGAAGAACTGATTTGACAGTACACTTCTTTCCTTGGGATGCTCTACTCCTTTTTAGAGAAGGATCTCATTATTATGACATTTTAAAAGATCACTGGCAAACACCAAGGCTGGCTCAAAAAGTTCCTTTTCTTTTCCTAATTCTTCTCTTAAACTAAGAACTTCTACAGAACTCACCTGAGCAGCACCAGATAACGATCTCTACCAATAATTTATCACATCCTGACCTTATGTTGGTTAGTTCAGCTAACCTGACCACACTGAGCACTTTCAGCAGCAAGCAGTTAAGATGTGGTTATACCACCTCACTTCAAACAGCCTTACTGCCAAATCCCACTGAAGTCCCTTAATAGTCCCTTGATTCCACTTCCATGAGACAACCCCAGCCAAAAGCCCTACACTGCCTGGAGTTATCATGTTATGAGCAGAATCTCCACGCTTAACAATGCTGTACTCAATTTTCACAAACTGCCTTCCTTATTTCACTTTCCATTTGTTTTTTCACATATTGTTCCATTTCTGTCTGCCTCTCGCTCCTCTGTTCACACTGGTTCTTTCTTTCCCTAAAATGCTGCCCACCTGGTGTTTTCTCTCCTGAAAATAGGGTCCCTGAGTGCACAAACACTAACGAACTTAAATCAAATTAAACATTGTTCAGTTACGGGTTCATGTTCAATCAAATCATCTTACATCTTGTTCTGTTTTGGAGTCAAAACAAAGTACAAATACAGCGTAAGGATAAAATCCATGGGACACAGCTGGCAATTAGGACGGAGAACTCTATTTTACCATCAACATGGCAAAACCAACCTGTAATTTTTGCAGCCTTTTCCTCTTGATTCACTCGGTTTTCTTCATCTTCCTCATTGTCTTCCTCAAAATCATCCAGATTTCCAATATCAGCTTGTTTCATACTCATCAAACTAGCCAGGCTTTGCATGTCTTCATCCCTAAACAATAAATTTTGAACCAAGCATCAAAATGTAGCCTGTTAATACCACATCTAATACTACTGCATTATTAAAAATCCTTTAAATATTTCTATGCCATCTTTTCTTCACGCAAGTCTCTGACCTCAGATCTTGAATACAGCTGAAGAACAAAATGAAAACACTCAAGTATATTAATTTCTGAAGGAAAAGCTTTCCATTAAGAAAATTCTAAAGGGTAAAAATAGTACTGCCTTGTATTAAGAGTTAATTTAACAACTGATTCTTCAAACTGTAAACCAATCCAGAAACACCAGTAAGCTCTTACCTGGTCTCTTTAGGTTAAAGTGAAAATGTTATAACCAGAAATTTTTTGGGACAATCTTTTGAACTCGAGTGCAAAGCAATCAGCACAGAACCTGCAGTTACATGGGACAACTAAGTGCTTCTATTGTAGGTAGTAAGAGTAATACAGGAAACTGCCAAAAAGTTGCAAAGATCTTTCCATTCATGCAAAATCCTCAAGGTTTTGTCTTCCTATTTTACAACTAATGGGTTAAATAAACTCTTTAAGGACAGGGACAAAGTGTCACATCAGTAGAGTCACCTGTCCTACAGAGCTGACAGGCAGGCTCTTTCACACACTGAAAACAAACAGCTTGGAGCAGTCAGTCCTCCCATCTCCTACGCCACTTGTTTGTGTAAAGTTTAGAAACAAAAAGGTCTCTAAAACACTATTTCTTCCTTTTTAACTGCCCTGTTTGTATTTACACTCTATAACCTTTCCTCTGTGTTTTAGAAATACGTTTTTTGGCAACACACAGCAATAGGTTGCTATGTTTTCTTTAAAAAACACATAAAATAAAAGTGAATCTCACTTTATACAATTACAGCAGTTTGCAGGAGATATTCATCAGTCTGGACACTTTCTCATGTGTTCACATACCTGACTGGTAAGACATTCTCTATTTACACATACTAGAAAACAATGCTTTCACAAACACCAGCTTATTTTTTCTTCAGGTTCCTGGTTCAGGGCAATATTAAAGCCCTATTGCCAACTTACACTCTACCTGCCTTGCAGTCCACAGACTGAAACAAATCGATATCAACAGGAAGAAGAGATGTGCAATTTCAAATGGCTCAGCTTTTACAATTTACGGCCCCAAAAAGCACTAAAAGCCTTGTACAGCTATTTACTGTTTATAGTTCATAGATGCTGGTTGTTGCCCAAAGTTAAAAGGTCAGATACCTCTTCCTTCACATTTCCAGTTGCAATGCCACATTAAGCCACAGCTCTATACTTCAAAATATTGTCTGTATTTTACGTATCAATCTATATTCACTATATATGAATAAAATTCATATGATATGATTCCAAACGTTGTTCCCAAAGGGTTAATCAGTGAAAGAAAACAGTAATATTAAGAGTATTTGTGGCTTTCAAAGCCTGCAGACAAGAAGATAGACTTTTAATGTCAAAATGCATGCTGTAACACAAAGATTTAGAAATCTGTTTATGCAGCAATTTGAGGGTGCTACAGTGCAATATATTACAGCAGGCAGTGTCTGCAAGTGCACTCAAAATAATGAGACCATTACCCCTTCTGGGGGAAAAAAGAAGCACGTAAAGCCCAATAGAACAGCAGTTTTCCAATCTGCCTCTTTTTGTTCTGCCTTTCTCACATTCCTATAGTCTCCACTAGACAGACAGGAAGAGTAAAATGGAATGGGTGACAAACAATCCACTCTCCAGCCACATGAAGTAGCCAACATTTGACATCTTGAGTCTGATCGGAATTGCAGGAGATGTTACAGGACCTGGTAAGATAATCTGTATGCCTCACACTCAATAGGCTGTTGAAATACGGGACAGAACCAGATGGGTGAATGGGGGATTGGTAATCTGTGCCCACATTAACTCTTTTCTCAAGTTGTTCTTGTGATCAACCCAAAATCTTATTTCTGACTCCACCCTCTCTTTCTTTTATTCTTTCTGAAATACCCTTACAGTCTGTTAAGGCTACTGTTGGATGAGTACACACATGCATGCAAACGTACACTCCTGCTGTTTTCAAAGCTGCAGATATTCTTAAGATACTGTTACTTAAACATTCTGTAACGGTAAAGGAAAAGCTGTTTTTCTTTGAAAAGCATAAGACGATAATCAGAGCAAGAAATGACTTTGACTCAAGAAACTAAGCATGGCAGGAATGATAGGTATGCTACAGGATGCTCTCAAATTCTGTCATTCTATACAGACAGAGCCCTTCATGGAAAGAGCTCTGTGAAAAGCAATGTGAAACAGGATATCTGTTGTGGTTTTTTCAAAGAAAAAAAAATAATAAACTTACGTGGCTTTCCCTTCCCTCAGAAAAATACAGGATAAAGAGAACTGTAACGTGGCAGATACCACTTTCTTGGACAAAGGCTTGAATTTTAACTTGACATCTGTCTGTGTAGGCATGGGGCTTGCATATTGCTTCATGTTGATGCTGCTGGTGGCGAGCGCTTTTCTGCGGCCAGAAGGAGATTCCTGAAAGCAAACCAAGAAACAGAACTGAGGTGAAAGATGTTAACTCTAAAACCTGCATGTTCATAAAACAAAAATGATTTGATTGAATCTGCATCATTCCCTTCTCAAGTATGCAAGCAGTGAGGATTGCTATGGTCCTTTTAAGAGACAAACTCATTTCTAAAACTAGGTCACAGCCACTACTGGCGGCTCCTGGAGGACATGCTTAATGCAATGAAAAAAGGGCTTTCATTGCCATTAGTGATCTTCCATAGGAGATCCTAAGTCATTAAGGGCTCGAGCATCCCCAGCAGGTATCCATTTAAGAAAGTGGGAATACGTTGCCGTTTCTCCTTTAGCAATCTGGAGCAGGTGTCCTCCTATGCAAGAGGAGGGTTTCAACTATGTGCATCTTTCTGTATCTAACAGTACTGGCCATTAAGTTCATGTTTCAAACTGCTATCTGGGTTCAAATAGATCAAGGTGATCAAATCTAATGGCTGAATATTTTTCAGACCAATGGTGTTTCTTGCTTGTGCTGCACAAGTACTATCAGGAGTGGCAGGTTTCTGAAATTAAGGACAACAATTGTTCCACAGACATTGATAAAACTTTGCAAGGAAAGAAAATACAAAGCTAGACAAGGGAAGATAAAAGCCTAAGCTGTATTTCAAGAAATATTCCAAGATAAAGGTGCTGCTTCACAGTTTAACAATTCAGACAAACTAATATAAAATGCATCTGAGAATCTCCTCTCGTTGTGTCTAATACTGGCATCAGCAGCAGAGGAATGATTATATGTAATAAAGCTCCAGGAACAAAAATAAAACAAAAAAGCCCTGCTGTTAACTCTTTTGAAAGACGTTCCCACAATACGACTACCTTTTATTGCAGCTGACAATTTGTGCTGAATAAAGAATACTAATTCAATCAAAACACTGAAGCATCCTTTTGCAAAGTACTTGACATTTCCGCCCAGTAGAATAAGTCAGAATGTAATATGACATCCCTAAAGAATACCTTGTTTAAAAAACTAGCCTTATCTGTCAGATTATGCACAGCAATATTATACAGAACTATTAGTGCATGTAGATACCTTATGAATGAATTTCAAAAAATGCATCAAACACTTGAGAAGGATTTAGGCCCTCTCAGAAGAAATACTTAAGGATATGCAAATGCTCTGAGCTGAATCACGCGGAGCAGCCCAGCTATCACAAACAATACCAGGGCTCTCTCCCCGGCCGCCACTGTCAATCAGAGAGCCAGATTAAGGTCCAAGGTTCTGACAAAGCTTAAAATGGAAAATATGATCAGGGACTTTCAATTACGACACAGATAAGAACAACAATAATCTGTCATTGTGCTGTACCTTTAGAATAACTACCATTACAACTCATTACACAGAACCGAGATTCACTGCCGAGTCTGTTCCGAAAGCAATGAGAGATTCGGCGTCCCTCGTTGGTGTGTTCTCTAGGTAAATGCATGTAAGCAGCTTGCATCTTAAGAGCAACTCATTTTGTAATGCTAATGTCTCAATTTTCACCCTACGGTGTGAAAACAGTGCCCAAGGTAAATAGAAAGGACATTTGTTAACTTCTTCTTAAGCATCTTTAGAGAAAGCTGCCATATATGATGTGGTGTGCGAATACTTATGCAGTGGGCATAAAAAACCCCTTGCCAATCCTGGTGCATGTGCTTTTCTGCCAAACAGAAGAGGAGCAACCAGAAGCGAGAGGATAACGTGAATTATGCCTTCACCTGTAGCCAAAAGAAAACATTCCAATGGCGAGCGATAGTGGCCAGGAAATGTTTATCACACATCAGGCTATATCCTCTGTTTTATCAGTTGGCGAGAGCTCATGGCTTGCAAACAACACACAATTACCTATCAACTGGCTTTAAAATCTGTTTTATGGTATCACAGTTGTTCTTAGTGAAACCATGGTTAGCAACTTACTCAAATATTAGGAATGATTGTTCATCAGCTCATTAGTACCCAATTATGCAATTAGGTTTTCCCTTAAAGAAAGTGTATTTTCTTTCTTTTTAAAGAAGTGGCATGGCTGCTTCACACCACCTTAACCGATGAAACAACTGAGATGCCCACTGTTTTTGTCAAGGTGGTGTTACAGAGAAGACAAGGCTCGCAAGCAGAACCAGAGAGGGAATGAGACCAACAGACACGGAGTGAGGTTCTGCCAGGGAAGATGGCGATCAGCAGCTCTCTGTGAGATCTGCTTGGGTGAGCTGGTAGCGAGGGGGGAGATAAGCACAGGCAGCGGTGTGCCAGTCCTGGAGGGAGAAGCCAGCCATGGGCAGGATTCTCCTGGCGCTGAATATCTGGAGGTGCTGTGAAGGGTAAGACATACTTGGCAATCAAGTTCAATCTTCCCAAGAAAGGAATTCGTTTTATAATCTCTTTGTGGGCCAAAGGAAGAAGTTCATTTTTCAGGTTCCAACTGCCTAGAAGAGTCCAAATTTGTCAATTTATTATATTAGAAAAACAGAAGGGCCTCTGATCTTTCAAGTTCTATTTTCCTTAGCACACGTTTAACTGCAGAGAAATCTTGTAGAAGAACAATTAAATCAGAAGAGAAAAAACAATCCAAGAGAAATGCCTATGAGTGGGGTATGCAGGAACGGCTTCAGCAGTTGGCTGGGGTGAGCTATTCGAAACAGAACCCGTTTGGTAAGATACTAAATACATAACATCAATTCAGTAGTGAAAGTCAGATCTGGTGTTACTTCTGTCTCATGTGAGAACATGGGGTTTTGTAGAAGGTAAAGCAGGACTCACAATGCAAATTTTTCTTAATTGCTCAACTTCTCTCATTGTAATTGCATGCTCTTGATTTAAAACGCATAAGCCTCAGCCATACCTCCAGGTATTTTACACACACATGACTGCTGGAGTTGCCACATCACGTTTTGTGAAAGTTAGCAAAACAAAAACGAACACAGATAATCAAGACTTCCTAATAACCTGAAGTACTGAATATGCATAGAGCTAAGCAACGTTACAAAATCGATACAAGTCCCATTTCATTTTTAGTAAAGAAGTGCACTGCCAGCAACAAACTGAAGTCATTCACAATTTCTAACTATTACTCTGTATGTATGTAGAGGCTTTAAAACCTCTCTCATCTGAGATACCAGCAGAGCTGGAGCCCGCTGGTGCCATTCCTCTGAGGCTGTTTCAAACCATCTTTTGGCAGTCAGCCCTGTTGAGACCAGCAGATCCACAGCACACACACAGACAAACAAAAATTTCAATAGCTACAGACAGGTTTTCAAGGAGCAGCCCCAATGCCATCCTTACGCAGCACTTCCACACATAAACTACTGACAAAGGAACTGAGACTAGATAAGCTGTTCTCCTGTTAGAAAACAAAGAAGTGTTTGGACGGAGGATGATCACATATTAGAGACAGGCACTTATTGCTGGTTGACAGTGCCCAGCTCCTCCAAAAGAAGCAAGTTAGAAGATTAACACTGCCATAGAAGCTTGAGCTTGGGCTGTTCAGAGTCATAGAATCATTAAGGTTGGAGAAGACCACTAAGATTATTATGTCCAACCATCAGCCCACCCCCACCATGCGCACTGACCATGACCCTCAGTGCCAAATCCCCAGGGTTCTTCAACACCTCTTCCTTGATTATTTGGATACTAATTGGTAACTGCCTCCCCAGCAGGAAAGTATTAAGTGGTGCATAAACACTTTACAGACATTATCCAAAAAAGACCTATATGGGAAAGATAACAAGTTTCCCACTTGGACATCGTTATTTTGTCAGAAGAAACACTGAGTTTTAACTGTATCCCAGAAAACGAAAATGTACAGCATAACATTTTACAAAAGAGAATACTGAAAAACCTGCACAGCTATGTAGATTTTCAGTAAGAGCATTATGCAGCACATTTGGGTACAAAATAATCAGGCAAAGCAATTTTTTTCCAGCTACGAAAAGGAGTTTGGGGGACTTCGCTTTCCTTTGGTTTCCTAATTAAATGTTGCACGTTTGCAAGGAAAGCTGTCCTCTGGCACAGCACCCATTGCCCCTGAAGCCCCGTGACGCCGCAGGGCAGGAAATCAGAGTTTTGCCTCTCCAGCAGTTGGTTGCCAGCAGTGCTGCAAGAGCCATCTTGCTTCGATGGAAAGATCACTGCTTCACTGACAGAGCAAAATGGATCACTACAGAATTTAATTTGTGAGAGTATACATCAATTAAATGCTAAAATAGACAAGCTACAGGGAGCTCTCTCAACTGGAGAGAGTAAATTAGAAACTATGTCAGTTAAAATAATTCAGACAGTTGGATGGGAGATTTGGAGGACCAAATGCAGGCAGCACGATCCGTACTGAGAACTTGTTTAAAAGCAAATAATGGTTCAAGGTATCCAGAACATTATTAAGAATTTTGATGCATTTGAAGGGAGAAATAAATGTTTAAAAAATTCCGCACGTACCAGAAAATCTGAGCCCTAGACATGAGATTGAGAAGGGAATTAAAAACATAAACATTGAAATAGCTAGACCTGGGTATGCGTGTGTAAATACATTTACATATATGTGTATACATGTAGCATAAAAAATAGATGTATAAGTACATATAAACCAGTCCATAGGAAGGTGAATTAAGTACTGGTAGCACAACACCCTGTTACTCACCATCGGTGGAAACAATACTTTCAGTAAGCACAGAGGAAGTATAACCTGCTACTGCTAGTTAATCCTTAGGCTCTGCTTTCAGAGCAGCCCAATGGCATTTCACTGGTGTCCTGAGAGGCTGGGGGCTGTAAACAAGCCGACGCAGGCAGACGCACCATTCATATTCAAACTGTTCTACCTCTGTGGCCCCCAGAAATCTCCAAAGATGAGCATCAGACAGGAACTTTAAAAAGTGAAGTAGTACCAAAGAAACCGTAGTAATTCATCTACACTATGCAAACCAGCATCAACTAGTGGTTGGTCCTGTTTTGCTATAAGAAACTTTTCAGCCTCTGGGCAAACAGC